CTTTCAACCTTAAGTAGTTATATAATTCCTGGGGAAAAACCATATATTAATCGTCTTTCTCTTCTATATGACTTTCAGACACTATCAGCATCTGATTTGCGTGATCCAGAGATATCTGCTCTTATAGCAGCTAGGATGAGGGAGTTTAATGAACTTGACATGCCTGGTCCCAAGAAAGTTTACCTGTGGGATAGATTGCGGTAAGTTCTAATTTCATCTACTTTAAGTTCTTCCCCTGTAGTGGAGGTACAGATTCAGTTTTGTGCACTGTGCTAAACTATAATGAGTTCATATCTATATCATATACATAACCAACATCATTGGTTTTTTAATTCTTCAGGAATTGGCTCAATGCAGCCATGACCTTGTGTCCTCCAGAAGAAGTTAAAGCCTTTCACTTGGATGTCATTAAGGAGGAAATCTCTTTATTGGAGAAGGAACTCACCAGGGACTATCAGCGCATAGGCTTTTGCCATAATGATTTGCAATATGGTAACATAATGATCGATGAGGAAACTAAATCAATAACCATAATTGTAAGTTCTACTAGATGCTGGTTTCTTCAATTTCTGATTTTTCAGAATTTTACGAATTTCATTATTCTTCTTGCTCCTTTTTCAGACATGATGATTCTCTAAGTTTCATCCTTTGGTTTATGGCCTTTCTAATTTTTGTTAATGATGTTTAATTAACTCATTTCCTACGTGCTTGCTTTGTCCTATGAAATATATCATGCTTTAACAGGACTACGAGTATGCTAGTTACAATCCTGTTGCATATGATATTGCAAACCACTTCTGTGAGATGGCTGCTGACTATCACACGGAAACACCTCATATATTAGATTTCTGTAAATATCCTGGTAAAGAACTCACTAGATCTCATGACTTTCCTATTTTTCTCTGCTTTTATTTTCACAAGAAAAAAGGAAATTTTATTGACATGCCTGTGGCTCATAACAGGTTTGGAGGAGCGCTTGAGATTTCTGCATTTGTATCTTAACTCTTCAGGTATTTAAATATATGAAACGGTTGTTACTCTCTCTTCAGATATCAGATACGTATTCATATAAAAAACAAAACTAAAGGGTTATATCTTTTTGTCTTTATATAAATGAATCTAATTATCTGAGTTGTCTTCACTTCCTTTTCTTTTTCTCATTGGTTTTTTCTTTTTATAGCCTTTTCAATTTGGAGGTTTGCATCCAATCAAAACTCCAATTACTTGATTATGTTTATGGAGTGTAGAATGATATTTTTCTGAAGAATTAATGTGGATATGCTTCTGAGCAGTCTAAAGCAGACATACAATTAGGATATTGTTTGTCAATTTGCTTCATCTGAAAATTTGGATGTAAATTGGATTTGTCCTCAGCTTCTTGAACAGTCAGTCTCCTATACAGGTAATGAACCAAGCAATGCTGAATCAGAATTGGACCAGCTGCTTCAAGATGTTGAGAAGTATACTCTAGCAAGCCATCTGGTTTGGGGGTTATGGGGAATAATATCGGTAATTTATACCTCTCAAAATTAGCTTTTTTATAGGAAAATCTACTATTAAATAACTTTGATCTGGAGGTGTTTTACTGACTCTGACCTGATACACCTTACTTTTACACTCCATAGAATTGTCTACAGCCCGCCCCATCTCCCCAACTCAGTTTGTACACAACATGCCACCCCCCCACCCCAAACTCCCCCAATCCAAGTGGCTAAGAGGTGTGGGGAGGGCCAGAGGCTAAGCCTAATTGGGGTGTGTGTTGGGGATGGGGGGATTAATTTCTCCAAGTTGCATTTTAATGTAGTAAAATTTTCCAAGCCAATTTATCTTATTTATACGTTTTTTTTCTTAGGAACATGTAAATGAAATTGACTTTGACTACAAGGAATATGCCAGGCAGAGGTTTGAACAGTATTGGTTGCGCAAGCCTGACCTGTTGGGTTCATCTGGAATCCCTTCTGATTGTTTGGCTAAGGGTAAATATACTTCCAATATTTCATATAGGATATTTCTTTGTAAAGTTGTACTTATATGGACTATGATATTCTGGAAGCAGAGTCACATGCTCTTTTTTCTTTGCATGAATGTTTATACCATAAAAATCAGAATACAGGATATCATTTTTCCTCTCTGGAGTTCTTTTGTGGTACCAAACATGAGATACAGTCTTGACAACCTGAATATTTACATCTTTGTTATATTAATTGGTATCAGAGGTTTACATGATGGACAGAAATTGATCATCGTCTGTGTGCTAGTTTAATCTGGTTTTGATGAATGGTGGGAATTGATGGAAATGTTGGTTGTTGCAGGTAAAAAAACAAGCACCAATGGCAAATGATCATAAAAAATTCCTCTATTCAAAGGAAAAGGATTTTAATTTGGCTGAAAGGACAGGCTAGTTTCTTATTCTTGCCACTCATTTATATTTCAAAACTGATTGAAGACAAAAAAAAAATTGTTATTCGTCTGCAGACATTGAAATGCAGTGCACGGATGAAATAAAGCAACCGTTCATCAACTCTTCAGTTGCAGCAATCGGTGTTGCCTTATACTGAAGATCCTCTACATATTTTCGTACTTCTCTCTTGTTGGAGCGCTGTAGTTGAAGATAACTGCTTCTATGATTTTTATGGATTTTGGTCAACAAATTAAATCAGTTCGTGGTAGTTTTTATTTGAATAATATCTGAATGTACCTTTTCTTAGAGGACGTTGGTGAGTTTGGCTGAGTGGAATTCAGATGATAAAACCATGTTGTTACATGTAGATAATGGGTACATTTTGTCTCGTTTATTTATTTATTTATTTTCCCCTAAATCACAGAAGATTTCTCTGTTCTAAGTACTCTACCCCTAATTGAAGTATATGAATACTGTATGTATTATTTGTTAAAATTTAAGGAAAATGATTCAACAAGGTGGAAGATTGCAAAGCTTCATGGACCATGTACATACTCAAGTTTTCATTGCATTTATACGGAGAAGTAACGTTAAAGAAAACTTAAAATAAACTTTTTAACATCTCAAAGAGATCTGTCCACCATAATTTAGCTAGATGTTGAAGGCTTCGGTTGAATTTCAGCTTGAACCTGAATCTGTGAAACTTCTGGAGCCGAGCTTCCTCCTGTTACGGATGAGGCAGATTCCCTCACACTAGGCGCAGCAGCTTCGATGATTTCGGGTGGTTTGAACTTGTTTATGTAGTAACTTAGTGATGGCCCTGTGTATTCAGTTGTCTGCACTCCAGCGGGTTGGTTCTTACCAACTTGGAGGAGTATCGATGAAGCTGCAGCAATGGAGATGAGAGCAAGGCCTGCAGTAACGGCGATTGTATTCTCAGCTCCGGCAGCAGAAGAACCTGCATTTCCAGAGCTTATTGCACTTTCTGCCACATAAACCGCAGGCTGGAAATCCAAAAATCATTGGACATCATGTTGTGGTAGAAATAGACAACAAAAAATACTGAAACCCTTCGGTGATGACAAAAATCAAGTGAATGTCTAGAATTAGCAACCAACCTCAACTGAATAAATATTTGTCTGCCCAGCAGTGTCCTTCTCAACATAGCCAGTCCAACCCCGTCTACGAGGTGGAAATGTCCCAACCACCGTGGTCTTCTCTTTGGCTAACCATTCTCCGCTCACAGCACCAACCTGTTTCCACCATTCTCAACATTAGCTCATCAACTATCTGCACTGCTCCAATTCAAATCTCCATCAATTGATGCTTATATTTTTTAGAAATTCATTTACATGATTAATGCAAGAATGAGACACAAACCTATGACTAATAAAAGGATTCAACTTTGTAACTTTCCAATTACAAAACAAAATTTGGTGATACAGACTAGGCTGTCTTAGTGTCTTTCTTTTTTTTTTTTACTAATCCTACAGTATCTGAAAGTCAGGTTAGGTTTCGACCAATTTACAGTCGAGCTGCATTGCACCCATAAAAGGAAACTCTCCATTCAAAAAACTCGAACTCGAGAACTTATTTAAGGGGAATCAAGTCAAGCTTCTTCTACTCAGATCAACATGTAATTGGTAAGCTCTCTTAGTGTCTTAAGTCTTAATATATATAAAAATACAGACATTAAAGACGAACCCTAATAAGGATGCCTACAGTGATGTAGACGAATATAACGTGACTATTTGGATCTTTGGACCGACTAATACTATGGATAGTTGCAGTATGTAGGCTGTCTTAAGTCTAAATATAAAAGTTTCAAAACTTTTAACAGAGATTTTTGTGTTCACCCCATAATGTGAATGTCAAAGGAAGAGCATTTTCCTCTTTTCCAGTTTGCATTACCTATTTCTTCCTAGCACAAGTCTGCAACAATTACATACAAAATTCTTAATACAAGAAACATCATCATTTCAGGACAGGAACTCCACATAAAACCTAAAATTGGAGGGCCTGTATGATTCAAGCTTCTTGGCATCAATATACACAGTGCAAAAGGCATGAAATTGATAAGGATAAAAATGAAGAGAAAATTGCCGACCTCCTTATCGGGAGCACATTCTTCTTCATTGCAGTCGTCCTCGGATGCAGCCCGCACGGTGACCAAGCTGAAAGGTGGCCTTGTTTTATGGGACTTACGACTGCCCTTGAGAAACTTGGCCGAACAGAAGGCGCATCTGTTGGATGATAACATGGCTTGCGATGCACACGCCATGGCCGCCTCTTCAATGGAGAATTGATTTCCTCTTCTTTTTTGCGAGATAATGCAGAATAGTTAGAGGTTTTCTGTGCTTTTGAAGCTCTGGTTTGTGATGGAGATTTTGTGGTGGAATTTGAACGTCTGCTTGTTTCTTCCATTCCTTTCCAGAGGTAAAAAAAAATATCTGAATTCTGGACTTGCTAGTATTAAGATTAGGCCCATTTATTGCCCACTTTTTGTTTGAGAAAAGCCCACTGCTGCGCCACGTTGCTACGCAACTAGATATTTCATTAGCATTATTCATTTCATAAGGGGAGCAAAAAGTAGCGGGAACCACCACCCACCTGGTGGGCTGGCTGGAAGTAGCTCGAATTTTTTTAAGTAATGTTGAGAGTTTGAGTCTTTTGAATAGAAAACAGGAGTAAGGAGTAGGGAGAGTTTCTCCTAATGGTGTCCTACTCTACTTGATTTCAGATTGATTGAGACTTAATATGGTTTTAAGCTCTGTTAGGGTTTTTGGATTCTCTCACGGATTGCTTCTTCTTGTTGGTACGATATCCTAAAATTCTGTTGTTACTTTGCTATCGCTTCGTTTCATTGCTTCTTATGGTGTATCGTCACACAAAACAAGGTTTCCTGATTCGAAATCGCTTCATAGTGCATCTTGATTTCCTTAATTTTCTTAGTATTTGATTTGTTTGTCGATCTTAGATTCTCCGCTCATGGATGGACCCTAATTTTCTATTGATTTTTTGCTTCTGCATGTTATCGTTCTCTAGAGTAAAGGTGCAAATAAGGATTCCAACTTTGCACTTTTTTCTATTTAAAAATGTTAAGTTTGTCAGTTTCTAAATAAGGATATCAACTTTTAATTCTTTTCTAAATAAGGATGTTAACTTTTAATTTTTTTCTAAATAAGGATGTTAACTTTGTTAGTTTCTAAATAAGGATGTCGACTTTCAACATTTTCTATTTAAGGATGTCAACTTTCAACTTTTTCTATTTAAGGATTAATTGAATAGTAATGCTGGCGTGGCTAACATATTTTTTTAGGTTAAATATTTGAATTGGTCCCTCGACTTTTATTTTTAAACCAATTCATCCTTAAACTTCAGAAAGAACCAAAAACGTCCTTCAACTTCAATTTTCAATTTCGTCTTTCCCTCAGTTAAATATTGATGTAGTTAATTTTTTTGCTAAGTGATTGAGTATTTTACATTTTCAATATTAGGTGGAAAATCCATCATGTAAAAGATGATTATGTGGATTTTTT